GGACCCCCCCCCCGTGCAAAAAATTGCTCCCCGACGAACACTAGTAGAGAGTATCAATGAAAGTTAGGTTCTCCTCCAAATTTTTCACGAACATTTCCAAAAATCGACAACATTTCAAAATTTCATGCTCATCTTCGAGATCTTCGAATAAACATTTGAAATAATTGTAAAGAATCTGGAACTTACCAATGAGATATATCCATTGATATTCATTTCTCGCCACACTTCATTCTGAAATCCATTACAAATATCTGTATTATCTCTCATATCTGCATGTACATAATCAAATTATAAAATCAACACTCCAGTATCTACTCGGGTTGAAACCATCTTCGATACATGGATACAAAACTGAAAACGAATCTTAAACCCATACCCACAACGAAAATTGGGATGTTCTAACAAATCAAATGAAACTGAATTTGAAACTGTGAAATTTGGACAAGACCCTGCAATTTTGAAAAACAAAAATGCCCAAACCCACTTCAGTCCCTACTTTTTTGAAACACAACTTCACAATGCTATAATCAAGTTTGAACTTAAACTGCATCCACAACATGATTGAATGTACCAGTTCCACGCAATATGAGTACACACTATTTAAGCTCAGACTGAACGTTCTACTATCTAACAAGGTCGCAACCATAAGGTAGTTGCATAATAATTGTATCAATAGGTATATCAATAGGCAATTACAGGTAACTGTATTGATAATTGTATCTTTTTCATTTGTGAATAGATGGATAAAATGTATGAATGAATCTAAATAATACCATCCACATTTGTCGTACAACAACGTTGAGAATATCCACATCCAACGTTTCACCAGGTGCTAGAGTAGGAGGCAGCAACATCAACGCGTTGCCTTTACCTTGCATCTTATCCGCTTCATCAGTCAATTTATAGAACAGGCAGTCTTCTAGCACTTGGTACTTGTGATGTGCTAACTCTTCAATATCTGCAATTGATCTCAACTTAAATCCATCCCACAAATATTGACACCTTCTAGATCAGTATTATTGCTATCTGTAAACAAAATTTACAGAATTAATCAGATGGAAGGCATTTTGGGTTCTAAAATCGTTTTAATGACGATTCACTGATAGATTCGTTAACGGCCTCACCTAGAATATCAAAAAATACTCATTGTCAGAGAGAGGTACCTCAGCTTATGAAGCTATCAAAAGAGTGTTATCTCGGATCAGTTAAATGTAATCCGGGATATCACCGAGATATCCGGATCAGTTTCGATAGTATCCTCAGTAAGAGATGTTAAGATCCATCAAAGACCAGATACCTCTGCGTTTCAATCCATCATAATATAGGAGTCAGTACTTTATAAGTACTTTCATCTGTACTATAGCAACAGTGTTTGCAACTACTGAACGCGAAACACTTTCATGAATAGTATTTCATCAAATCATATGAGAAAGCCCACCTAAAACTCATCATTTCCCACTAAATATCTTAAATTTACAAGAGACGTTTCATCGCTAAACAGTTCATATCATGTTTCTCACGAGTGATTGACCCTTTTTGAATTGTTTTGTCACAAAAAGTTATGCATGTACTTTTTCAACCATGTACGCTCAATAATTGACGGATGATCGAACAAATCGATGGAGACGAATACGAAGATTAACATCACTTAAAATTTAACATCTGTGTCCCAGATGCTGAACGATAATCTAATTCAACAAGAACCCTCCTCTATTCATCTGGAATTATGCTTTGGAATGAACCGATGATGCGTAAACAGCGAAGGATAAGTGAATAAATAGTGCAGAACTTTGCACATGATTGATCGATTAATCTATTGTGAATGAGCACTAGGCGATTATAAATGAACTGATACGCGTTTATGTAAACAAGTGCAACGATCGAACTGGAACGTAAAAAATATTTCTGAACATTCAATACAATTCCACTGATATTCCTGCAATCTAGAAATCTACTCTTTCAATCGCAGCATATGAATCCCATCCAGTAATATAAATATTCTGCTGGAAATTTGATGATGACACTGGATTTCTAAGCATATCGAGAATCGCTATGTATTACCTGTAATATTATGCCGAAATCTGCAGTCAGCATCATATTGAGCTTCAGTTTTTGAGACGTAAATTGTGGAAAGAAGTGCCATTGCAAATAATGATTGGTGTAAAGGTGAGAATCGCTTCATGGTAAACTTATTCACAGCAGCACCTCAGAGATTTTTCTGAAAGAAGTAAGATTTCACGAGTCATACAATTACATTTGATGCATCGCAACGATACAATAATATTAAGCTGATGCCAACTCGAACCACTGTACAGATTTTACACAGCAATTTATATATTACTAACAGTGGAATGAGTTCTTCAACTGACAACAATGGTAATTTGATATTTATCATTGAATTGTCAATCTAGAAAATGATTTAGAAAAAGTAATTGCGGCAAGGTGACTCTAACAAGTTATCGAACAAATAAAAAGACAAGTGCAATAGACTTTATTGGAGGTAATACTGGAAATCGCTTTTAATTGCTATTCTTAGAACCTGTCCAATCAAAGCGATCAAGCAGAACACATAATACCGATATGATCGACTGGCTGATCACCAAAGAAAAAGAACTTTCAAAACATACAAAAGAATCAAAACATTCGAACCCGCAAGAATAATTACATGTTATGCACCAAAAAGGACAAGAAAAAGTCATCACAGAACTAAACACCTAAATATGGTAGCAATATGTTGTGTTCTATTGAGCAACCCTTGAATGATTAATCATTGTAAATTAATTACTTGCGTGACCAACTTTAACGCAAGATTACTACGATTACTAACAATAAGATTACTAAGATTATTAAGCCCAGACCAGGGATCCCCATAAGGGTGAAGTACTCATTTTGGAGGTGTAAGGGGGTAATCAAGAGGTTCGGAAAATTAGTTCTGACGTTATACATGGGAATAGCAAGTTATTGTTGCGGGATGTGGGTAATGACGGCCTGCCGCACCATCAAAGGGGTAATAAGTACCCGAGCGTGGGGACTACTGGCCTAGACGAAAGTTACGGGTGCAAGGGGTTATCTCCGCGAAACAATGGATACAGCATACCTGTACCTGGATGGAATTCACTTGCGCTTCGACGAATCGCATAGTTCGTCTAAGCATAAGTGAATTCCTTTTCAACTTCAACCAAACGTAATATCTGCTCATTCAAAAAGAATTTAAACCATTGTCAAGCGAAATAAATAAAACCAGTACAAAATACAATTGAATGCATTCACAAGGTGTTATCTCCACGAAACAATTCGTGATGGTATAATAGAACATAAAATACGAAAATACAATTCAATAAACCGAACTGAACTTCAATTGACTCCTTTCTATGGATCTATTGACGATTATTTGATTGCGTCCTACTCTATTGTATCACCTCACCTCACCTTGCCTTACATTACCACCTCACATTCAACATTGTATTCGATGTCAGAGTATAAAATCAATGTCAGAGTATTGCCGTGACAATAGCACTATGATGACCTGCGCACGAAACTGCACGAAATAAAAGCCAGCGACACACGATACGACAAGTGACACAAGCAATTATCTTGCCTCATCTGAGGTGCATTCAGTGTTTATTTGTGTATTTATTTGTGCTGATATTTACCTGTCAGACATTCGAGTGATTGATCGATTGTGAATGGGTTCGTCGGTTGGTTTACCTGTGAGCATATCGTTTTCATTTGTCGAGATCTAGAGCACGGTTGAGCTGAGAGTGACCACTGTGGACACACACACAATGTCATGTGTTTGTATTTTACACAATTCTATACCTTCTTAGCGATATTCTCTGAGCTAAATCATTGTTGTTGTATCACACATGAAACCACACATGAAACCAACACAGTAGAAAGGGCTGATTGGTTCAGTATGGTACGAAAAGATGACTTTATTTGATCAGTCAACATTCTATTGCTCGGTAATATTCAGTAAAATAAACACAGCAAAAAGTAGCGAAGCATCAGAAAATCTCATTTTTACATTCTGTCCAATGAAACTAAAGCAGTCTTTTCTCTTTTTCTTCAAAAAAAAACCTACTTAAAAACCAGATTAACAATACATAACCCTTCATCTTCCAGCGATTCACTCTATCGGTAAACAACTTAAAAAAAGCAAAAACAGTTTATATTCGGTGATCTATCAAATTTTTAGTGCCAGTCTTAAGCTTATACACCAATTCCACTAGTCATATTCTTTTGTAAAATGGTAAATTCGTAGAATTAGATTATTTAATTAACGAGATATCGACTTTATAATGAATTCTAGTTTAAAGTTATCATTCCCAAGACATTACGAATGTAACGCAATCAAGACTGTGAAATCGGTGAAATCGCTTGATATTTTACAATTCTAAGGCAGAACAGCTCAACGAATTGTATTCGGAGGCAGCAGAAATCATACAGTTCAAATTTATGCTAAATATCATGAGATTTCAAATGTAAAGAGTCTCATTAGCAGCTGGTAATTGAAAAGAAACGTTGAATTGTATGGACGCATTTATCGTTGAGCATCCACATGATTATTGAAACTAGAATTCATTCCAACCCAACACAATACTCTGAATTTTAGCCCAAAAAAATCGCCATTTCAACGAAACTACAAAAGAAATTACAGTGAAGAAGGAAATCAAATCCTTCGAAAAAATTAACGATTCGACAATTATGAAGAAATGACGAAATTAAAAAATCGTATTTTGAGTGCATTTCAATGAGTCATATGAGAATTTTATGGGTCCCATGAATAGTCGTCGATTCGTTATTAAACATATAAATTACTGTTATTATTGAGGAATAGGACTCGATTTATAACTAGTATTGTGATATAACCACAGCTTCAATTGCTCATCGACGAACGCATGAGCAAATGATCGAACGTATGAATGAATTGAATGGAGGAATAGATTTTTGAAAAAGGTCATTCACCAAAATAAATTTGATCCGAAATGAAATGATGAATTTAGAAATGCGTGAGTGATGAAAAAGAGCGACTCATTACGACTGGTTGGTCAAGGGCGACTGAAGTGCTTTAATTGTGATTCGTTCGTTCGATTGAATAACGATTATTATTGTTGTTAATATGGTTATTTATTATTGTGGTTGTTATTATCAAGGATATTTTATTCGATTTCGTAGAACGTGTTCGATGGAACAGGAACCTCGAATGGATCATAATTTTCAACAATAAATCATTGGAAAGAACTTTGAGCAAGTTTCTGAAAAAGAGCATCGACAGCAACTTACAGGCAACCTATCGGGAATGAGCAAATTCGAGCTTGAAGCTTACGATTAGCAGCTGAATATGGAATTGAGTACTGATCAAATGGATCAAATTTTGATCCTTACAGAATATACAATGTACAAATGATCTCGATAGGAAATGCCTGATATTAAAAGGTATGCTGTATTTGTAAAGGTACCTCTACGTTGTGGGAATACATGGTCAGTATATTNGATTAGCAGCTGAATATGGAATTGAGTACTGATCAAATGGATCAAATTTTGATCCTTACAGAACATACAATGTACAAATGATCTCGATAGGAAATGCCTGATATTAAAGGGTATGCTGTATTTGTAAAGGTACGTCTGCATTGTGGGAATACATGGCCAGTATATTCAGGTCACCTGTACGCTCAGGTTTATTTATTCGGTAACGCAAAGCTCTCTGTATACCGTAAGATAGAGTGGATTTTCATCTAAAACGGAAGTATCGATGATGTCGACGGATAATATTTCGTTGTGAGGAAATTGCTGAATTTCCGGAGGTATTTTTTATAGCTGAGTGAGTTCTAGTCGCATCATAGGAGGATCAGGTATACCATATTCAGGCAAAGTGCATCCTCAAGTTTGCCCAGTAACACAATAATTTCTATGCACCTTCAGATTAAGCAGATTCTCTGCTTTCCGAAAAGTATATGTGTTGTCGACGTAAAATACTTCGTTGCATAGATAGTGCTGGATTTCTGAAGGTATTTCACGTAGCTGATTGCTTTCTTTATATGGTTCTACTCTATGCATTTGATCTGCATATTGATCAGCATTGCGCTATTATGAAGATAACAGTTGCATCATATTCAAGCGATCTGTATCCTCAAGTTTGTCCAGCAATAAAGTAATTTGTGTGCACCTTCAGATTCAGCAGATTCTCTACTTCCAGGAAAGTATATATGTTGTCGACGTAAAATGTTTCGTTACATAGATATTGCTGGATTTCTGAGGATATTTCACGTAGCTGATTGCTTTCTTTATATGGATCTACTCTATACATTTGATCTGCATACTGATCAGTATTGCCCTATTAAACAAAAATCAGTTACAACGTATTCAAGCAACCTGTGTCCTCAAGTTTACCCAGCAGCATACTGATTTCTGTGCACCTTTAGATTCAGGAGATTCTGTGCTTTAAGAAAAGTTTACATGGTGTTAACTTCTTATGCTAACGATATGTTCCAGAGACACAGTTGAATTTTAAAATTTATATCGACTGGCTGCATCGTGTCGCATTCATCTTATTAATTGTAAGGAAATGATGTCTCGATTGATCACTAATGTAGTCTTGTAGTAAGCTAAGGAGCTCCATTTCCAGGTCATCGGTATTCTGAAAATATAACGAGGGGGTCTCGATATCTCCACTCATCGGAGATTCTAATTTGCGGGAGTTCTGATATGATAACTTGCTTCAATGAACGTCCCAAATAATGCAGATCACACAATCTTCATTACTACTGCAATATTCCCCTTACTCAAACACCAGCTAGAATGCACTAAACAAAAGGCTAAAAGTATCATCTTGCAACAGGGTATCAATTTCAAATTCTTTCATATTCTCAACCATTCACTACGCACAACTGAATAGATTCTCAGCTAGGCGACTGAAGTTATTTTCTCAATTTCACATTATGATGACGTATTGCCCTTTCTCAATTTCATTTCCGTTTCGTTCTGTCAGCATCGAAATATATGATCCGAATGGAAAGCATTTGGTTATGAGAACAAGACATTTGGAAATTGGCTCAAGTTTCAACGTATTATAAATGGCAAAGATAACAACAACTCAATGACTAACACTATGAAATTGCCTGGTGTTTGAGTAAGTGGAATATTGCAGTAGTAATGAAGATTGTGTGATCTGCATTACCTGGGACGTTCATTAAAACAATTTATGTTATCAGAACTTTCGCAAATTAGAATCTCCAATGAGCGGAGATATCCAGACCCCCTCGTTATATTTTCAGAGTACTGATATTGGATAGCAAAAATTTTCATATACTTGAATTCCAATTCGTGCGGTGTCATAATTTTAAGTACTGCAATTCGAAACACTTTTTCTTCGCTGATTCAAAATTGATTTGCGCGTTTAGCATTTCATTTCGGTTCCGTTTCAGGACTCAATCATACGTCGTATGATGATGCCATAACATGAAATCAATGATTTCAGTCATTATTCATTCTAATGAGTCAATTTGAACTCATTCAAACGCCATATACACGATCGAATAATTGTTATCGCTGAAATATTATAGTAATTAAAGGGGTCGTTTATGATTCTGATACGATGTGAACTGAGAACCAAACGCAAACAACAGCTGATCCCTTGAATCTTCGTTTTATTTCCTGAATAAAACTTAACGACGACATGAATATGTTGTTTAATTATCAGATCATTTCACTCCTCTCTCAAATCTATCTTCATCTCGCAAAACACTTTACAACATTTGTAAAACAACACTGACATTATCATAAAATGCCAATGCAAAACTTCTTGAGATCAATCATCCGATTCTGATCGTTTGTGTTGAATTGATGAATAATGATCACTCGTATTGCGGCGGTCAATACTCTGGCATCAGTCTCGAATGAATAGATCAGATTGATTCATTTAAAACGGAAATGCATCAAAATCTCTTGTAAATATTAATCCACTATTATTCTTCCTTAATCCAGTCCAGTCATTAGCCGCTCCGTAATATTCATCAACGCAATAAGATATGATCGCTTTAATAAGTATTGCTAAGCTCAAAAGATGAGTGTTTAGCTAGAAT